TTAGGGATACCTACGTATTTGCCTGGGTCTTCAAAGGTTGGAATTTTGAGGGTAGTGCTGACTTGATCTCTCACAACAGCAGGGTGTTTTCAGGAAAAATTAAGCCAGATTTGACAAGATTTGCTTGTTGTCCTAATGCATCACAATATAAATTTAAGAGCCTAGATAGTCGATGACAATTCTCCAGATTAACATTCATAAACATAAGCACATCGTCAGCAAAGAAAGTATGAGAGAGCATTGGGCAGTAATTTGATAGCTTGATGCCCATTAGATTCTTATTTTTATTTCCTTCTCTAGCATACAAGAGAGAACCGCCGCCACAAGTATGAATAAGTAAGGGAGAAGGGGGTCCCCCTATTTAAGACCCCTTCGGGGTTTAAATGAGCTCACAGTTCTACCAGACAAACAGGTATTAAAGTGTACTGAATTAACGCATTTCATAACTAAAGTCACCCAATTAGCATTAAAGCCCAGTTTAAGCATTACCTCCCTAAGGAAGTCCCATTCGATACAGTCGTATGCTTTGCTCATGTCCATTTTCAGAGCGAATTCAAACTTGTTCCCGCTTCTCTTCTTCTTTAAGTAGTGAAAGACTTCGTTGGCAATGATGATGTTGTCTTGAATAAGTCACCCCGAGACAAAAGCACCTTCTGTGGATGAGACACATTTGTTAAGCACCAGCTTTAAGAGATTCGCAAGCTGCTTTAAGATGATCTTGTAGGAGAAATTGGAAAGTCCTATCAGGCAGAGCTTAGTGATGGTTTATGCCTTATCCACTTTTGAGATTAGTACCAAGTTTGTTTCATTAATTCTGCTGATGTCCCCGTGACCCTAGAAAAATTCTTTGACAATTGTTACAATGTCTTTGTTAATGATGTTCCAATTGCCATGGTAAAACTTGCCACGAAAGCCATCCAGCCCAGGAGCTTTATTAGACCCCCCCTAATTGGAAAGTAGCTTCTCTTATCTCTATAACAGTCATTTGTGCCAAGAGAGCTCTATTATCTTGTTCATCTATTTTTTGTTCCATGTAGCTTAAGACTTTTGTGAAATCCGTCGGGTGGTTCAAGGCAGTGAAGAGATCGAGGAAATATTTAGAGATATACTCTGCTATGTCGTTTTTCCTCTTCCACCCAGAATCCTTCATCGTTTTTGATTCTCAAGATGGAGTTCCTTCTACATCTCTAAATGGTTGAGATGTGAAAGAATTTTGAATTGCGATCACCTGATTTTAGCCAAGGAACACAGGACCGTTGCCACCAGTACGCCTCTTCCCTATCCCAAGTCTTTTCGATTTCTATCAAGATTTTCTTTGCTTTTCTCAACTTGTCTTCGGTTAAGTTTCCCTCTATACACTCTGAGAATTGTTATTTCAGCCTATTTATAAGCTTGTTGCAGTTAGCGAATACTTTTTTGCTCCAATCAATGAGGACTTTCCGACACTTGTCTAACCTTAGGGTGAATTCCTCCATCTTGCTCATTTCCCCTTCCGTCAAATCTGACCAGCCTTGTTGTACCACCTTGCTAAAATCAGAATGTTCCATCCACATGAATTTCTAGCTTGAAGTTGTAATGGGCGCGTATATTATGGAAACACATGTCAACATATAGCATGAAGTGATCCGACCCTAAAAGTTCTAGGTGGAAGACTTACGCCTTGGGGAAGGTTTCCCTGAAGTGTACATTAGCCAAGGCTCTATCTAGCCTCTCTTTTACGTGGTTTTTATTTGTTCTTTTCTTGCTCCAGTATAATATGATCCTTGATAACCCATATCCAGGAGGCCACAATCAGAAATATGCTTCTGGCAATTCAGTCCTTTTTGTAGAGCTCTAGGTCGCCTTCCCTACTTTTCATTTTGTCTTGTGAGATCATTAAAGTCCCCAATGCACATCCACGGCCCATCGATGCCTCCTGCAATAGATCAAATTTTTTCCCAGACTTTCTTTCTGCCTTCTTCCTTAGGGGGACTATAGACACAAGTAAGATACTGTGGCACGCTGACTGAGCTTGAGGAGAGAGCTGCGTGAATTATATTATTGGAGGAGTATAGGACATTGATGAGAATATCATTGTTCCACCAGATTGACAGACCACTGATTAGACCTACTAGATTGCTCAATCCATTCTTCATTAAAATCGCACCTTCATAGCTGATGAACTGTCTTTTCTTTTTGCTTGGTTTCCATGACGAATACCAAGTAGGGTTTATGCTTTCTGCAAGCCTCTTTAAGGTTTTATTGTCAGAGCCACCCCAATGCCCTGACAGTTCCACGATAACAGCCTCATGGCGCCCCGAGGGCTGTTTGAGGCCAACCACTCCTGCCTTCAGTAGTATCCATCTCCTCCTTCGATCTTTCTTCGCATGCAGTTGAAGGAGGATCAATCGAGAAAGAGAGGAACTCTGTTCCCCCATTTGATGTTTGGAAAGCTAACCTGCATCTAAGTTTCTGCTTCGCGTATCGGACATTTATCTTCTGGCCCCCTTGGGTTTCTCCTTATTCTTAGTCTTGCTGTCTTCTGTTCTGTTAACCTCTCCCTTGTGCTTCTTCCTTTGTTAGGGCGAGTCAATGTTGGGAGGGGATCTTTTCAGTTTCACCCCTTCTAATCTACCAGTCATGGTTGATATAGGTGATGTTGGGATAAAGGGCATTATTGCTTTTGAATTGTCTTGTTCTTTTGTTGTCAGCGTAATAATTCGTCCCTTACATCCCCCTGCGACCTTCTTTTTCTGGTTGTGGCTGTTGGACTTGCAATCCATATTGGGCCTCTTTGACTTGCCAAGGCTTGTTCTGAGGGCTCCCTTTGTAGGTGATTTGGTGGGCATGACTTTTAGAGTCATAGGATGGGAGCCCATCTCTATGCTTAGGCCCAATCTTGTTGCATCTTCGTGGTCTTGATTGAGCTGTCTTTTATCAATAGACTACTCGCCATATCCACCCTATTACAGGAGACTGTATCCCTCTAACAGCCCGTCTCTTGCCTATCACATTCGCCGAACTTGTCTAGAGGTATAGGACATCCTACCTTATGAATTGCCATGTCAGACGCGTGGGTTGTAGGACGCGTCGCCCTGCTCTCCGGAGGTTTCGACATCTCCTTTGAGTCACACCATTCCAGGTTCACCGGCTTGATTTGTTGTTCCATCATCTTTGGCAGTGCTACCTTCAACTAGCTTCCAAAGGAAATCTCTTCTTCCACCATTATGAATTGCCATGTCAGACGCGTGGGTTGTAGGACGCGTCGCCCTGCTCTCCGGAGGTTTCGACATCTCCTTTGAGTCACACCATTCCAGGTTCACCGGCTTGATTTGTGTTCCATCATCTTTGGCAGTGCTACCTTCACTAGCTTCCAAAGGAAATCTCTTCTTCCACCATTACGTCCTCCTTTTTACACAAACATTGTTCATGTCCGATGATTCCACATTTGTAACAAATACTTGGAAGTCTCTCATACTTCACTTCTATCTAGACATCTTCTTTTCCTGGCCTAGGGACCAAGAAGCTAGTGATTAAGGGGTCTCTGATATGTATTAGCACTCGGGCCCATAAAAAGTTACGTATCGTGCGTCCATCTCTCAGTGGGTCTTCAGCCATCATCACCTCTCCAACCTCATTGCCTATCTTGATAGCGTTCATTTTGTTCATGAAGATAAAGAGGAGCCCATGGAATTGGATCCAGAATGAGCATTTGTGAAAGCACACCTCTTTATATATCATATCGTCTTCCCACAGCTGCAAGTTTAGTAGGTGTGATTGTATTGCCCATGGTCTTCCACAAAGGACATGATGAAAGTCGTCTCTTTCCGCAAATTGGAAAACAAACACATTTTTCTCTATATCTAAGACTTCAATCTCGCCTTTCAAGTTCTATCCTTTTCGCACCACAAAGATAACAGTTCCTTTATGCAAATCTTTGGTCACATCCAACCTTCCTATTAGTGAACCACCCATCCAGACTTGTTGATTTCGTTCAAGTTGGATTCTTCCTTGATTCCCTGCGGAGGAACCCTGCCCCACTTCCATTCCTTCGTGACACTACCAAAACCTACCGCCCACCTCCAAGACTCTGATTTTGCTGGACTCACACTCTTCTCCGCAACTCTCACTAATCTTAGGAAGGCACTCTTACTCACTCACTTTAGGTCATCACAGTGGGTGATAACCGACAAAGAATGGGGAAGATTCTTAAGAACAACTGGAAAAGGCCACATGAGGATGGTAACAAGACCCCTAGGTGAGAGAGAAAAGAGCTCACTCTGGTAGCGAGAGAAAGCTATCACTCTACGAATTGCCTCTAAAACAATTGGAACCATCCATTTGCATTTTTCCATGAAAATATTACAACGAGTTTCAAGTATGCAATGCAATTACCCAAAAGATCTCACAAGTAAACAAAATGCAATGATAAGTTCTGGCTACACCTTTTTTTTTTGTGGTTTTTTACGTTGGAGATATTTTGCTGCTTCTTACGACTCCCTAAATATGTTCTCAGTATTCATTCACTGATGAGGAAGCAGCACTAGGCTGTGGATCAAGTCTAGTAGTCTAGGGCAACGGCATCACATAAAGACACATTAAATGACTAGCGTTGCTGCTCTCGATGCATTACATAGGTCGCCGTCTTTGGGGCCGTAATTTTAAGCTCCCTCCCCCCTTCTCTCCTCTTTGTGCCTCCTTCCCCAACCACACATCTCTCTCTTCTCTGCCATCGCACCCCCTCCACATACCATACCCCACTCTCTCTCCACCTTCCTGTTTTCACGTGAACCCTCCTCTCTCTCTCCTCATTCATAATCACTATATGCATTAACTTATTATTATCCATCAATTACTACGGCCATCTCCTTTTTAACCCAAGCCCCTCTACTTGTACTTTTCACCTCCGAGCAATATATATTCGTAGTAGTACTTCTCCCTCAACAACCCATTGCTCTGAGAGCATTCTCGTGTTTTCTTTGTTGTCTCTGATTTATTCTCTGCTGTTAATTTCTACACGAAGCCTCTTTAGATGGAGGTGGGTTCGTGTACGGCTACGAAGCCCGCGAACTTGTGGGTTTTCACCCTCCCTGCTTTTCTTGGCGCCGAACACTTTGTCGGCGACGCCTACGCTTTGCTTTCCATCTTTCTTGCCTTTCTCTATTGGCCTTCTCACCTGGGCCTTCTCTCGTGGCGGTCTCGCCTGGAAAAATGGTCGTAACTCTAGAGGGCGAGTTCCTATCCCTGGTCCTCGGGGTCTTCCTGTTTTTGGCAGTTTGTTTAGCTTGAGCCGTGGGTTGGCTCACCGGTCACTCGCCGCCATGGCCTGGGCTCGGGATAATACTCAGCTCATGGCTTTCAGCCTCGGCTTGAGTACTCCTGTTGTTGTGGCCTCTGATCCAACCACTGCCCGCGAAATTCTGACCTCCCCTCACTTCGCCGACCGCCCTCTCAAGCAGTCGGCCAAGAGCCTCATGTTTAGCCGAGCCATCGGCTTTGCTCCCAATGGAAGCTACTGGCGTCTTCTCAGGAGGATAGCTTCGTCCCACTTGTTTGCACCTCGGCGAATTATAGCCCACGAAAAAGGACGCCAGCTTGAGTGCGCCGCCATGCTGCGCAACATAGCAAACGAACAGAAGCAACTTGGAACCGTGTCTCTACGAAAGCATCTCCAAGCAGCTTCTCTCAACAACATAATGGGTAGCGTCTTCGGCAAAAGGTACGATCCATCGATAAGAGCGAAGAACTTAAAGAGCTCGAGGATATGGTTCGAGAAGGTTTTGAGCTTCTTGGGGCTTTCAACTGGTCTGATTATCTTCCATGGCTTAGCGCTATCTATGACCCGCATCATATAAATGAACGTTGCTCGAAACTTGTTCCTCGTGTCAGAAAATTCGTCGGCGCCATCATAGAAGAGCACCGAGCCGCCAAGTCTGGAAAACCCACCGATAACGATGATTTCGTCGACGTGCTGCTTTCCTTGGAAGGAGAAGACAAGCTTGAAGAGGATGATATGATTGCTGTGTTATGGGTATGTAATATGTTCATTAGTTAATTAAGCTGTGAAGTTAGTTTCTTCTGTTGAACCGAAGTGACTTGGGTGTTAAATTTTGTAGGAAATGGTATTCAGAGGGACAGATACGACGGCGCTTCTGACCGAGTGGGCAATGGCAGAGTTGATTTTGAACCCGAAGGTGCAGGATAAGCTCTACAGTGAAATCTACGGGATTGTTGGGGACGAAGGAATTGTGACGGACGCCGACGTGGCGAGAATGCCGTACTTACAGGCGGTGGTGAAGGAATCACTGCGAGTTCATCCGCCTGGTCCACTCCTGTCGTGGGCCCGACTATCCACGTCGGACGTCCACCTAAGCAACGGGATGGTGGTTCCCGCCAACACAACCGCCATGGTGAACATGTGGGCTATTACGCACGACCCCCGTGTGTGGGATTCCCCGCTCGAGTTCTCGCCGGAGAGGTTTGTCGAGAACGAAGGTGGCGCTGACGTGGACGTCAGGGGTTCTGATCTGCGTCTGGCACCGTTCGGGGCGGGACGAAGGGTCTGTCCGGGGAAAAACCTTGGCCTCGTGACGGTGTCGCTGTGGGTGGCCAAGCTGGTTCAACGGTTCAAGTGGGTCCAGGATCCGACTCGACCCGTTGATCTCTCCGAGGTTCTAAAGCTGTCCTGCGAAATGAAACACCCACTGCATGCCATGGCCGTTGAAAGAAGGCATGGTTAAAAATCTATAAGGTCCCTGTAATGACGTATTTGGTGAAGTTATGGTTAGGGATATATTAGGGGCTTGGCCAGATAGTTTAATTTTACGAGTTTGTTTGACCTTTTTCTAAAATATGCAATTTGTATATGTTTATGAGGCAGCTTTTGCAGTTAAAAAAGAACCTAGGGTCTTCAATGCGAACGCATGTAGTGTAACTTTTTTATAATATTCCCAAGTTCCAAGTTCGGGGCCATTCTATGGTGTTATCATATAAATTTGTACGGTGCGTCCAGACAAAAATACTGTTTGTGCTTGGTGAGTTTTCACTTTGTACGGTTTTATAGAGGGAGGACTACCATTTTGGTCAAGTCATTGTCGGGTTTCTTTGCATGTGCCGAATTTATCTTTGCTCCGCTTTTATTTTATCAGTCTTGCTTGTCAAAGTATTGTTGTTTTTGCCTGGCAATTACGAACGAAAATATTCGTAACTTCTAAACTATGTTTACTGACGAGGTTTATTTTTATGGTTTTGCAGTCTATAACTACTGCTGTATAGTATGATAACGAATGAAATATGCAATTTAGTCACATTCGGATGAATACTGGCTGTTATTTGATGCTGACTTTTATTTCTTAAAACTAGGGAGAGATTGAAGAAAAATATTATTTGTATGATCCACTTGAGTTTTTTGTGATAGTTGTATTTTGTTGATGTTGGTCAAAATGTGGAGTTGACAAAACAAAACAATGTTTGAATCATAATGTGATTGTTTTGCTCAAAGTCAATACAATACTAAACATCGCCTAACCATGTGGGTGGTAGGATAGCTTAGCTAGTCCTACTTGATTAATTTGAATAGGTTAAGAAAGTTTGTTAATTAGTTGTCTATATTAAATAGGTGTCATGTGTATTATTAGAATTATTATTATATGAAACTTTTAACATTATTTTTAAAAAAATAATAAATATAAGAGACAGTAGATTGAGATTTTATATTTAGGATTAAATTAAATATTAAACTAGATATTATATAGATTACTTTGAAAAAAAAATAGACAAATATAAGATATAAAGGACTGAGTTCTTATATTTATGACTAAATTAAATATGAAACTAGTTTTTTATATGTTTTAACAATGATTCATGTCTTTTAAGTTCCAATCAGCTCTGGCGGGAAAAAAAAAAAAACCCGTTCCGATCAACAAGTTTTGTTTTCGGCTGACAAATTAATCAACATGTTAATATATAGAAATGAACGTTATTTTTTTTTTTTGGGAACATGCTTCTACAGAACAAGAAATAGGGAGAAAAAATAAAAAGAATACATGCAAAACTAGATAACGTAATTAAAGAATAAGTGAAAGAGAGAAAGCGAGAGAAAATTAAGAAAAAATGTAATTAATTACAAATAAAATTAATAGAAATGTATTTAATATTCTGCGATCTTGTGAAAAAAATTAATTTTATTTAAAAATTTGAATCTCATAAAAAACATTATTGTCATCTTTAGCATTTGGCACTTAATCTTATTTTGGTTTTTGTATGTAAAATTCAAATTCAGGGACTTTGGTACTTGAAGCAAGGTTCCAAAGACAAATTTTTAGATGAACCAAAATAAATAAAATTTCAAGAATTGAAATTACTATTTTCAAATTTTATGTCCATAACAAAAATAAAATAATTTCAAATTTTGGATACTACAAATGATACCCTTAAAAAAAATCACTACATCCGATCTTAAATACTACTTCTAATCTTTAATATAAGAGATAATTTAATTTTTATTTAATCCTAAATATAAGATCTCAAACCCTTTTTTTTATATTTATTTTTTGAACACAGTCTTTGTAATAATAGTAGTTCTGACTCATATACTTGATCAATAAGGATATTTTAGAAAGGACAATATCTATTTATTACAAATAATTAACTTAACTAATTTTTAATCTATTCAAATTAATCAATTGACTTTTATATTAAAAATCAAAAGTAATACTACCTTCGGTCCTGATTATAAAAGCCAGTTGACTAATTTGAAGAGATTAAAGAAGTAAGCTGAGTTAGTTATTTGTCCAAAATAAGTGTTGTCTTTTCTAAAATATTATTATTAATTTAGTATATTAATTAGAACTATCATTGTTAAAAGGGCTACTCTAAAAAAAATATATAAATATGAAAGAAAATGGATTCGGGTCTTATATTTAGGATCAAAATAAAAATCAAATAGGGTCTTATATTAAGGATCGGAGGTAATATAAGAGCTAGTTTGTAAAAAAAAAATATAAAACAATAATTTATGTAGTGTAAACTTAACTCTTATATTCAAAGAGGAGGTTGTATTAAGTTAGGTGTGTCACCCATCTCTTGCTTCTAAATTTGGAAACCGTTGCTTGTTCACAAGCTCTACACGCGGAACGCAGAGAGCGTGAACTGGGTAGCCTCAGTTTGCCAGTTTCCACGTGGCATCTCAGTTTAATAATGTGGAGATCCATAATTGTAATTGGGTTGAATAATACTCCATCCGGTTTAAAATATAAACTAAATTTTTTTAAATGGGTTTATTTTTTATAAGATAACATTATTTTTATCCAAGTATTTAATGAATTTTTTTAATTTACCCCTATATATTCTTTTTTCTCTTTAATTTATTTATTACATCTTTTATTTACTCTTCTATATTAAGAAAAGCAAATATATGCGTTACACATTTATTATTTCAAATTAATTTTAATTAGTTTATTGATAAATGTAATGAATAAAGTTTAGCTTATATTTTGAACGAAAGAGAGTAAAATGGATTTGGCTTTTCTCTAAACCCTCAGTTTCATGTTTACCCGTCAAAAATGAATCACATGATGAATTACAACACTAAAATATATTTTAAATCATTCAATTTTATATAAAATTTTAATATGATTTCTTAACTTTGTCTTTATTTTAAAATTGTTAACAAAAATAATGGTATTGAGATTTTGAGTATTGATAAAATATTTAAAAATAATGACATGTTAAATTTAATTTTTTTTAAAAAATAGTTATTATAAAAAAATCATTTAAACAAAAGTAACGATCTTAGGGATAAAAAAATTAAAAACACTCCAAATACATATACACATACATATATATATATATATATATATGCGCGCGCCCCTTGCCAACACTATGGTGGGCCCTAGTTGCCTTTTTAAAAATAATAATATATTATTAAATACAATTTCTGCTTAGTGTTTGTGTTTGAAATAAATCAAGATTTTAAAAATGATTTTATAAATACAAAATAAATATGTAAAAAAATATTCAATTTATGTGAAAATACCTCTAAAAAGTGCTTTTGGAATCCATCAAATACCCTCATTTCTCTTAATACTTAAATACTTTGATGAAATTATGTATATTATATGGGACTTTTCTGAACCCTTGAGAACTGCATATACTTTTGAGTTTTGACCAACTTTCACAAATTAGGTTAGTGATTTTATATACTACCTCCAGTTCTAATTATAAGAGTTATTTGACTAATTTAAGAAGATTAAAAAAATAAGTTAAGTTAGTTATTTGTAATAAATAAGTGTTGTCTTTTCTAAAATATCCTTACTAATCAAATATATTGGTTATAACTGCTATTATTAGAATGATTACTTTGAAAAAAATTACATAAATATAAGAGACAAAGTGAATTGACGTCTTATAATTAGAATCAAAATAAAAGTTAAACGAGATCTTCTATAAAAATCAGAGACAGTATTTGATTATAAAAGCAGGGATCCCACTTACGAAACTTAAATCATCATTCCTTTCTTAAGGAGATCTTTCGATACATATCCACATGAAACCATTAGTGATATGTAATTTTATGTTTTTTAATTTATGGTTCGTCAGGAATCTAGAGACAGCTTCCCTGTTAATTAATTAACAGTACACATTACTTGATCAACTTAATTCAGAATTTTAAAAAAATTATTATAAAAGTTATTTTTTGAAATAATGAGAAATAGGCTTAGTATGCATTATGTATTATTGGTCACTATTCAAATAAAAATAAATTTATTGTTTAAGACTTATATGTATATATTGAAATAAATATTTTGCATAATGATTTTATACAAACCCTGGTTTTAGGCTTTAGAGGACACGAATTGGGGATACGACGGTGGAAAACTATAGGTTTAATTTATGAAATTATTAGTACCTAAGTCAAAGGTCCTCTTCTCGGGAAAAAAAAAAACAGAGAAAAGTTGTAATGTGGCCAAGCCAAATTTATTTGTTGCTTTTAGGTACAAGACTGAAAATAAAATATATATATATATATATATATATGCACATACACATACATATACATATGTAAAGTTGTTTAAAAAGAGCACTAGGTTTTACATAAAGAGAATATATTTACATTAGTTCCAAATTTAGTAGTCATTTATTGGGGGGGGGTTTGTTGAAGAAGAAGATCGAGATAAGTTCTTTGGCTTAAAAAAAAAAGTCATCATCAGAAGAAGAACTTGTAATAATACTAAATTGAGTATTTTCCTTTGATACTGTACAGTGTAAAAGCATGCTGAGGACTTTGGTTGTTTACTTAATGATTTTGTTTCTTTGTCTATCGTACTATTATTTCCGGTTCTTAATATAAAAGTTGTTTAATTTTTATTTTATTTTAAATATAAGATTCAAATCTATTTTATCTCTCATATTTATCTATTTATAAGGTAGTCCTTATAATGATGACGGTTGTAAACCAATATACTTGATTAGCAAAAATATTTTAAAAAATACAACGTCTATTTTATGTATTATTGGTCACTATTCAAATAAAAATAAATTTATTGTTTAAGACTTATATGTATATATTGAAATAAATATTTTGCATAATGATTTTATACAAACCCTGGTTTTAGGCTTTAGAGGACACGAATTGGGGATACGACGGGTGGAAAACTATAGGTTTAATTTATGAAATCATTAGTACCTAAGTCAAAGGTCCTCTTCTCGGGAAAAAAAAAAACAGAGAAAAGTTGTAATGTGGCCAAGCCAAATTTATTTGTTGCTTTTAGGTACAAGACTGAAAATAAATATATATATATATATATATATATATATATGCACATACACATACATATA